CGAAGTCAGGTACCCATTACTGCTGGGTGGGCAGGAGAGGGCGAAAAAAATCCGTGTCCGAAACGAGGCTCGAACCCGGACTTACCGCTTCGGAGACGAGCGCACTTACCGCTCCGCCACTGCACCCCCATTTTACGGTAGCGAATTATGTAGACAGAAGCACCAACAATACAATTAAAAAAAATAATAACCTATCCCTCACCTGTGGCCGAAGTACTCGTCTCCTTCAAGTTCTTCATATCGTCTCTCATTTGGTTTCTGACATTATGGTCTTAGTACCTCAAAACGACCAAAAATGTCGGACACAACTTAGTAATTCTAACTTCTAAGGTAGTCAATTATGTAGACAGAACCACCTCCAACAAAATTATAACCTATCTTTCCTCACCTGTGGCCGAGTTACTGGTCTCCTTCAAGTTCTTCATATCGTCCCTCAGCTTGAGGTCTCCCACCGCCAGCCTCGTGGTTGTGTTCCGAATGGAGTCGGTGTAGGTGGACAGCTGACGCTTCGCCTTGTCCAGCTTGCGAGTGGCGTTCCACACGTACTCAGCGAACGGCGTGTGGTACACCGCTGTCGGAACGCCCTGCCGCCCGGGAATCGGCCGGGTATTCGGTACCGAGTCCTGTTGGCCGGGTTTCTCCGGCTTGCCCGCGCGAGAAGGCTCTCTGCTGCCGCCGCCGGAAGTCCGAGTTCTGCTTCCGGGGTCGTCTTGGCGTGAGCCCGTAGTTCCCTTTGCCTGACTTCCTGAGTTCCCGGGTTTTTTGTACTCTCCCACCTGTCCCCCGATTGGGCTGGTGACCTCATCAGCCTGAAGGGTGGCCGTCTCCGCGTACACGTTGACCTTGCCCGGTGACCCCTGACAGATTATCTTCACGGTGTTGTGGGTGAGGTCAAGGTCGTACTCACACGTCTCCGTCTGCCCCGCTTGGCCTGCGTGACCACCGGGAAGAAAGCTCAACTGTAACAACAACGACAGCAGCAGCAGCAGCAGCATACTCCTCACTAGTGAGAGACACCCGCCGCTCGCCCCGCAAATCGGCCGTCGGGGTGAACTGACTTCCGTCCACATGATGTCACGAGAGTCCTAGAGTTGGGCTGCGAGGTAAAGGCTTGACGAAAAAACACATAGAGTATAGCACAGATACCTCGAATTGGTCGGGACCTGCCTCGGTAGTTTTCCAGGGATGCGTAGTTCGAGGGATATCTTACAAAGATAATAAAGAAGAAGAAAAAACGGGATCGCAGGCACAGTTCGACGTATGCGTGATTTCGAGTCCTCTGTGTTCGACTTATCCGAGTTATACTGTAGTAAGCATTCTCTAGCTGTATGCGTCTCTCTCTACATATCTCTCTCTCTCTCTCTCTATATATATATATATCTCTCTCTCTCTAACTATAACTCTCTCTGTCTG